GTTTTCTCCATACATTACTTCATCCAAAGAGTGGATCATAACTACACCACCATGCCTGGTCCAATAAGATGCTCAGGGAGGTTAGTAAGAGGGACTAAGTGGGCACAAAGAGGATGTTGCTGATGAAATGTGTACATACCTTTTAACATTGTTTAATGCGTTTAGACATTATAAAGTCTGTTTGTCTACAAAGAAGAAAATAATTGAAGTAGATTTGAAAGCGTCATGAAAAACAAAATTAGAGTTGTTAATCCTTGAGTTTAGGATATTATGAATATTGGATTCTGTGTTATGATTTTAGTTTTGTATTTCTACTAAACAATGTGTTTGTGTGAAAATGAGTGAATTGTTCATGTTTTAAATATCAAAACGATTGTCTGTGTGCAGCATCAACTCCCTTGAACTGCGCTTGTCGCTCACAATGATCTTCGCCATCGAGGAGATCAACAACAGCACGAAGCTGCTGCCGGGCATCAAACTCGGTTATCAGATTTACGACTCGTGCGAGTCTGTCCCTGTTGCTGTGCACGTGGCATTCCAGCTTCTAAGCGGTCTGGACTCGGTGTTTTACGCCGAGGACAATTGCACTCAGTCGGGTAAAGTGATGGCCGTCGTCGGTGACTCCGGGTCCACGCCATCCATCGGCATGTCGCGCATCATCGGGCCCTTTTACGTTCCTCAGGTAAGTATTCTGAATCACTGCAAAAGTTGTGGTTTAGACCATTTTAGAATCGGTCCTGTTAAATAATGAGTTGTTTTCCTCTAGGTTAGTCACTTTGCCACCTGTGCATGCCTGTCTGATAAGCAACAGTACCCCAGTTTCTTCAGAACCATTCCGAGTGACCAGTTCCAGGCTGACGCGCTGGCAAAGCTGGTCAAACACTTTGGTTGGACTTGGATAGGTGCTATCCGGTCGGATTCCGATTATGGGAACAGTGGCATGGCGTCTTTCCTGGACGCAGCGCACAAAGAGGGGATCTGTGTGGAATATTCTGAATCTTTCTATCGGACCAACCCGCGAAGCAGGATCCAGAGAGTAGCTGACATCATCCGCAGGTTTCTGCATTCAATGATTGTGTGGTCACACTGACTTGCACCCAAATCTACAACAAAAGCAGTTCAAGGGAAAAAATGTTTTTCTTTTATCTTATGTATTTATTTCTTATTATGTTGAAGGTATTTGTTAATGAAATACTAAGTTAGACAAAGAAGAGCTTTAACTATTTCTATACATCCTGTACATGCAAATATTTGGCAATATATTTTGATTATATTAGTAAATGTATTCCTATTTTTTCCAGGTCGACAGCCGTCGTTATTGTGGCATTTATGTCCGCTGGAGACTTGAAGATTCTGCTGGAGGAGCTGTCGCTGAAGCCCTCTCCACCTCGCCAGTGGATAGGCAGCGAGTCCTGGATAACTGACCCAGACATGCTGCAGTTTGGTTTCTGCGCTGGAGCAATCGGATTTGGCATTGAGCGGTCTGTCATCCCAGGTCTGAGAGACTTCCTGCTGGATCTCCCTCCATCTGAAGTGTCTGCCTCTCCGGTGCTGACTGAGTTCTGGGAGGAACAGTTCAACTGCAGGCTGGAAAAAAGTGAGAATGTTTGACAGATCATTAACTTACACTCCCAGTATGATTTTTATCTGCTCTTGTATTACGTTTATTATCCTGGAGTGGAGTACAAGCTGCTTTAAAAACACAATCCCAGAGTGATTACAAGTAGGATATATTGTAATTGAACAAAGACATAAAGTGGAAAAATCATGCATTTCTTCGAATTATCAGATATGAGGATTTTTTTGTGTGTTTTTTGCAGGAGTCTCAGACAAGAATGTGTGTGATGGAACTGAAGACATAGAGACGATCCAGAGCCCATACTCTACAACTCCATTTAGAATCACCAACATGGTGTACAAGGCTGTTTATGCTATAGCACATGCCATTCATAATGCAGTGTGCCAGGAAACACATTCTATAACCCAGTGTGACAAACTCACCAGCATAGAGATCAAAGAGGTCAGTCAAGACAAATTATATGTAAAAACACAATGTCCTTTTTTTTGTAAGTTTTCTAAAATGAAATATTAACTTTAATAGACGTTATTTAATTTCTTGCCATCACTGACTTCCTTCACTTCCCCCTTGCAGGTTCTCAATCAGTTAAAGGAAGTTAAATTCTCCCAGAATGGTTATGATGTGTCTTTTGATGCCAATGGGGACCCTGTGGCCACATACGAGCTGATTAACTGGCAGAAAAGCGAGAGTGGCAGCATTGAGTTGGTGACAGTAGGACACTACAATGCGTCACAGCCAGTGGGCCAGGAAATCTATATTGATAGGATCCTCACCTGGGTGGAGGGTGGCACACAAGTAGGATGCCCCTAATTGATATTATGACACATTCCTACTTGGAATTTTACAATTTGTGTTTTTGGTCCCTGTTCGTCTCTTGCCCATACTGAATGCATAGAGATGTGTTCTGAAGTCACAGCACTTTCAGTCCGACAGTGGTGGAGCCTTATTTTAGCTTTAGCTGAACTTAAGAACACATTTCCTTTTACAACACACCTTTCATTCTTTCCACCAGAAGTTGAAATGACAAATACATGAACACAAACCCCTTCATGACGTGCAAGTTTACATTTTAGACAGAATTTTCAAATATTTGAACCTAACCTTTAATCCTCAGCATTTCAAAGCACATCAACTTATGAGTGTTTGTCTGTGTCTCCAGGTGCCCGTGTCAGTTTGTTCTGACAGCTGTCGTCCAGGAACTCGGAAAGTGCTGCAGAAAGGAAAACCCATCTGCTGTTATGATTGTGTATTGTGTCCCGAGGGAGAGATAAGCAATGCTACAGGTATTAATTGTCATAATGCATGTACTACACAAGACCAAATATTGAGTACAAAAGCTAAAAAATCCATTTCTTTTGTTATTTTTTTCAGATTCCCCTGATTGCTTCTCTTGCCCCAAGGAATTCTGGCCTAATGCGAAGAGAAACAATTGTCTCCCCAAACCTGTAGAGTTTCTTTCCTTCAACGAGGGCCTTGGGATCATCCTGTGTGTATTCTCAGTTGGAGGTGCCTGTCTTGCCGTCCTAACAGCGGCTGTGTTCCACCGTCATAGGACATCCCCGATTGTCAGGGCCAACAACTCTGAGCTGAGCTTCCTGCTGCTCTTCTCTCTGACTCTGTGTTTCTTGTGCTCATTAACTTTCATTGGAGCCCCCTCTGACTGGTCCTGCATGCTGCGCCACACAGCATTTGGGATCACCTTCGTCCTCTGTATGTCTTGTGTTCTTGGAAAAACGATAGTCGTGTTAATGGCGTTCAAAGCCACTCTCCCAGGTCGTAATGTCATGAAATGGTTTGGTCCTCCACAGCAAAGAATGACCGTAGTGTCTTTTACCTTTATTCAAGTCATAATATGTACCCTTTGGTTGGTTCTTAGTCCTCCTTTTCCAATGAAAAACCTAACCACGTACAAGGAGAAAATCATCCTGGAGTGTGCACTGGGCTCAACTATTGGGTTCTGGGCGGTGCTCGGGTACATCGGCCTGCTGGCTGTCTTTTGCTTTGTGCTAGCTGTCCTAGCCCGGAAACTACCTGATAGTTTTAATGAAGCCAAGCTGATCACGTTCAGCATGCTGATATTCTGTGCAGTCTGGGTCACCTTTATCCCAGCATATGTCAGCTCTCCTGGTAAATTTACTGTGGCTGTGGAGATATTTGCCATTCTGGCCTCCAGTTTTGGACTCATGTTGTGTATTTTTGCACCAAAGTGTTTCATCATATTGTTTCAGCCGGAGAAAAACACAAAGAAATATTTAATGAACAAAACTTAATGCTAGATTATCTGACAATTCAATGGATTTTTACTCAAATTATTAAAGTCAAAAAGGGGAAACAAAGAGATCTGGTTTCTTATGTGCGTTCTCGGCTAAAACCACATTAACGTCCATTTTGATAAATGTACCCACTGGCACAATGTAAATATCCGCTATGTCTATATGCAATCTCTGCTTCAATTCATCTCATTTTAGAATAATAGCATAATAGTCTCAATAGTCTCACTCCAACATTTTTACACTTTCAAGGAACGGTTTTAAACATCTGATTCTGCAGCTTTCCGATTTAATTTGTAAAAGAAACAAACTACATTGTGGCTGCAAAATCAAAGTTCAATAGAACATTTCATGATGTGCACATTACACTTGTTTATCTACTTTATTAACATTTTAACTGTCACCTTTAATGTTTCATTAATTTCAATGTATTTTTGTGGAAATCCTTTTAAAATATTTAGTTGTCTCATTTTACAAATATTGTTGTACCACGGCATAATATCTATAGAATAAAGTAAAAAGAAAAGTATGAAGAAAAGCAACGTAAATATGTGTTTCTTTCATTTATTCAATTAACAATTTAACTACAAAAAAATCCATAAGTGATTGACGTTTGTTGGACCTAACTGTAACATGAGGTGAAACAAAAAAAAGGTGTAATTATGTAAGAACATATTCAGTGTTGGTCATTTTATTATAAGAGAAGGAGTCAAAAAATAAATTATATTCTAAGAAAGGCTCACAGAAAGGCCTCGACAAGGGTTAATCAAAGGCCCATGAGAACACCCTCTCTCTGACGTAGAGAAAGCTGACGTACAATCTGAGGCAAGCTTTTCTCTGAAAATCTATATAAAGCAGTAAAAACACATGAGGACCGTAGAGGGATGGAGATGTTTGCTCTGTTCGTTGGTCTGATCGTGTCGCTGGGTTTGTATGAGCGGAACTCAGCTCTTGCTTTGCCTGGTTCTGGGGATGGAGTAAAACAAAGGGCCGGGCTTACAGAGGACAGGACTGTTGTTGGAGTCAGCGATGAGGGCTCATCTGGGGAATGTAAGCTGCAGGGTGCCACTCGTCTACCTGCATTCTCAATGGATGGTGACTACGTTGTTGGTGGTGTTTTCTCCATACACTACTACACATACACAGTGAAAAATAACTACACCACCATGCCTGATCCAATAAGATGCTCAGGGAGGTTAGTAGGAGAGAAAAGTGCAAGCTAAGAGGATGTACTCTAGATGGAAATAGTGTTATTTTTACAGTGCTAATCATTCCATAAAGCAGATTTTTTACTTGAAAGGTAAACCAAGAAGTTGTTGTTGAGTTTTGATCTAATCCTATGTGTTGAATTTGTTCCTTGATGCAATTTTGTTTCCCGTTGGAAGTGCAGCTAATGTTGTCTAATAACTCTAAATTGAAGATGTTCTTAATTGACTATATTTATTTTGCAGCATCGACTCCCGTGAGCTGCGCTTCTCGCGCACAATGATCTTCGCCATCGAGGAGATCAACAACAGCACGAAGCTGCTGCCGGGCATCAAACTCGGTTATAAGATCTACGACTCATGCGCGTCCGTGCCTGTTGCTGTGCACGTGGCATTCCAGCTTCTAAGCGGTCTGGACTCGGTGTTTTATGCCGGGGACAATTGCACTCAGTCGAGTAAAGTGATGGCCGTCGTCGGTGAGTCCGGGTCCACGCCATCCATCAGCATGTCGCGCATCATCGGGCCCTTTAACGTTCCTCAGGTAAGTATTCTGAATCACTGCAAACGTTGTGGTTTAGACCATTTTAGAATCGGTCCTGTTAAATAATGAGTTTTTTTCCTCTAGGTTAGTCACTTTGCCACCTGTGCATGCCTGTCTGATAAGCAACAGTACCCCAGTTTCTTCAGAACCATTCCGAGTGACCAGTTCCAGGCTGACGCGCTGGCAAAGCTGGTCAAACACTTTGGTTGGACTTGGATAGGTGCTATCCGGTCGGATTCGGATTATGGGAACAGTGGCATGGCGTCTTTCCTGGACGCAGCGCACAAAGAGGGGATCTGTGTGGAATATTCTGAATCTTTCTATCGGACCGACCCGCGAAGCAGGATCCAGAGAGTAGCTGACATCATCCGCAGGTTTCTGCATTCCATGATTATGTGCTAAAAATTGTTCCTCATGGACATTTCAATTAAATCCAACACTGCAAATGAGCACTCACAAAAATTAAAAAAACACATCACACATGATAGTCACAACTATCTTGGTATATATTTTTAAAGTCCTTTGTTTTTATATTGGTATAATATAACTCAATTTCTCTCTAGGTCGACAGCTTTGGTAATCGTGGCATTTACAACACCTGGAGACTTTAGGATTCTGCTGGAGGAGCTGTCGCTGAAGCCCTCCCCACCTCGCCAGTGGATAGGCAGCGAGTCCTGGGTAACTGACCCATCCATGCTGCAGTTCCGTTTCTGCGCTGGAGCAATCGGATTTGGCATTGAGCGATCTGTCATCCCAGGTCTGAGAGACTTCCTGCTGGATCTCCCTCCATCTGAAGTGTCTGCCTCTCCGGTGCTGACTGAGTTCTGGGAGGAACAATTCAACTGCAGGCTGGAAAAAAGTGGGTTGAATTAAATTTAATACAACATAAAAGACAACCAAAGTTGGACCCTTCGGTGTGTTCTGCTATGTTTTTTTTAGTCCAGTTAAAACAGTCAGTGAAAATTTTAACAGTTCTTTTCATGCAAACCCCTTGATTACTATGGAGATATCTTCATGTTGAACAATGACATACGTTCATTTCATAATAATCTATTACTGTCAAGACTATGAAATGCTGTGTTTTCAGGATCAGCTACGGACAAGAATGTGTGTGATGGAACTGAAGACATAAACAAAATCCACAGCCCGTACACTGACACATCTCAGCTTCGAATCACTAACATGGTGTACAAGGCTGTTTATGCTATAGCACATGCCATTCATAACGCAGTGTGTCAGGAAACACATTATATAACCCAGTGCAACAAACTCACCAGCATAGAGATCGAACAGGTGGGAAAAAAAAAATGTGAATATCCTATTGTCCTTTTTACCTACAGTACAACTTGAAATGCAAGTCTCATCTTTTCCATTCACAGGTTCTTACACGACTGAAACATATGAATATTTCACAAAATGGTTACGAAGTGTCATTTGACGTCAACGGGGATCCTGTGGCCACGTACGAACTGGTGAACTGGCAAAACACTGAGACTGGCAGCATTGAGTTGGTGACAGTAGGACACTACGATGCATCACTGCCTGCGGGCCAGGAGCTCCGTGTCAACAAAAGCCTCACCTGGGTGGAAGGTGGCACCCAGGTAGGGAGATAAACATTTTTTTTTAAACATTCAAATATGAACTGATATTAAACAATATGATATGTGGAAAACATTTTTAATGTCACTGCAGTTGTTACCCCTGCAGGGAAGACTGTCTCCTTAATCCGCTTTCAATATAATGTAGGCATGTTATAGTTTGACATTTTACAAGAAAATTCCTTTTTTATATTTTCCTACAAAGTGCAGAAAAATACTTACTTTTGAAGAAAACTTACACTGTATTATGAAAAATGAATCCTATTTGTATAGGTTAAGTCCTCTACTGGGATCCATAACTTACACTCTCCCCAAATCACAACAACACATACACCAAATTGTCCTTCGCATTGACGTAGCGGGATAATGAGGACATGCCTGGATTGCCCACGCAACAACACAAATGCCTCTTTCATGAAGGCTTTGACTTAGGATTACAATATCATAACTTATCTAAACTAGTAAATAGAATATGTATTCAGAGAGTTTAAAAAGCACCAGAGAGGACTGTGAAACAACTTTATGAAGTCTATAGCTTAATTTGGATTTAATTTAGATCACTGCGTCCGAGATATTTCAATAAAAGATGATTATATTATGTGATTTAAATTTGGTCAAGGAACATGTAACTCAATTAAGTCTGGGAATAGTATTGTTTCACCTGAAGGCTCCGCAGATTTGAGTTGAAAAACGTGAATCTTTCCGTTTTTGCAGACCTGACCATGTATGACTTTGTTTATATCTATGTGCCAGGTGCCTGTGTCAGTGTGCACCGTCAGCTGTCCTGCAGGAACTCGTAAAGTGCTGCAGAAAGGAAAACCCATCTGCTGTTTTGATTGTATACCCTGTCCTGAGGGAGAGATCAGCAATGCCACAGGTATACTGTCTTTGTGACGGTAGATTAGATGAACGCTGGCACATGTCAGCGGCCGTTCTGTTTCTGATCGTAGCGTTCTGCTTCATAATAAATGTTTAAACTAGCGCTGTCAGGTAAACAGACCCATTTTAACCTTCTCAATTTTTTTCACGAGAGATTCACTTTTTTTTATGTTGTTACCCAGCTACTTGATCCTTTTTGAGGGACAGTCCTACAAATGTCACTCACAAAACATGTAGAAAAGAAAACAAATCCAGCACCGCTCCTTCATCTTGTAGTAAAAACTCACCCCAGGACGACAGCATACCAACGTATGATCGTTTATTAAATTAATTTACATCAACATGTAAATCATTTTTTTTCAGGGAAATCATTTCTAAGTATAAAACCCTAACCCTTTACCCGAAATGTGCACTTTATAGTTGTACTTTGTACCACCCTGTTTGGCAATGTTTTTTTTCAATAAAATAAAACATTTGTATAAAGCAAAATAATGTAAAAAAAATAAATGAAGGGACATTTAGAATAGATACAAATTAGCGATTAATTGTGATTAATTTTCAGTTAAATTGATCGTGATTGATCGTGATTAAATATTTTATTCGTTTGGCAGCACTAGTTTAAACGCTATATTCTAGCAGATAAGGTTGTCCTAAGAGTCTTTGGATAAATGCTTCCTATTATCCTCATTGTCTCCTCACACAATATCGCTGCTCTGATCACATCAGTCCTGTCCTCCAGAACCTCAACCTGTCCCACAACGGATCCAATTCAAAGTCCTTATAGTCACTGAACCAAGCCGTTTCATACCTCTCCAACCTGCTTCACCAACACGCTTCTTTTACAGCGTCAGATCCTCTAATGACACCCTCCTGTCCCCATCACTCAGGACAGAGAGCCGGACTATAAGAGTTCTCTGTAGCTGTAACCTTCCATAGTGCTTACTCTGAAACACATCCGAGAATCACATTTTCGAATCTATAATCTATCCTCATTTATAATTTAATGCTACTAATGATGAGCGTACTTTTCTCTACATAACTTTTCTAAAATGTTTTTCCTTCTCTGAAAAGCAAACTAGGAATAAAATGTGTTATTAACATTACTACACAACAACATTAGTACACAACATTGAATAGACTAAATAGTAAATATTCTCTTTTCATCTTTTCA